GCCGCGACACGAGGCTGCTGGCAGCTGGCAGAGCGAATCGCGATTCCGGCGGCCGCCGTCAGCCCGCCGACACCGACGGCCTGTCTGAGGTCAAACTCCCACCGCACGTCGGACCAGTCGTGCGTCAGCCATGGCGACGAGACGTCTGTATGCAGACAGCCCGCCACCCGGGCGATAGAACATGCCAGCTGGGCTCTTCCAGGGCTCTCGTGGCCCGTGGCGCGTGCCCAGTGGAATAGGGCGGGCTGCGGCGGGCGCAATAACTATTCACAGCTAATGAAAACTATAAAAACTCGCGGCTTCATCAAAGTTTGAGGTGGCTTCGTCCTCAGCACCATCAAGACAGCTCTATTCACACCCTGTTTGGTTTGAAGCCACTCGGGGATGCCCGTTTACACCCAACCGACGAGTCGCTGGGCCCTCTGACCTGAGCCGGAGCCGCTACGGGCAAACTGGATGTAGCCCCCCAGCTCGCCTCAGGGTGATTGTGTCAGTCGGGAAGCACGCATTCCCATTTGGTGGGCCTGTGGAGGCAGCGCCGACCAGATAGCCCTCACTACAATAGATGACAACACTATACAGACTACGCTCTACGGCTTTATTCTATACACCCCTGCAGTGTCTCAGTATATGGTGTGTCGCGCCGTGTCGCTCACCTGAGAGGCTCGAGCCCGTCTGTAAACTCTGAGATCACACACATGTGTTCAACACGCGAGCGTACGACAAAAACCATATCGCGGACGAAAAGAGGAAACCAACCCGCTCAGGGCCAACCCCACAAACGCCGCACTGCGTACTGTACGATCGGCGCGCGATCCCCGGGCTGTTGCGAACCGTAGCGAGCATTGCCCATGGGACGGTACAACTTCGCCCGCGAGAGTGCAGTCCGGACTGGAGTGCGGCTCCGGGCACAACGCCCCGACTAGAAGAGGCGCTCGTCGAGCTGCTGCCCGTGCTCACGGATGCGCGCAGGCATGGCCGCGCGCGCCGCGCCGCCAACGCGCCGCCGCTGCCGCTGCGCACCTACCGCGCGCGCTTAGCGCCCGCGCTGCCGCTTGTTCTGCTCCTCGGCCGCCGCAGGCGGCGATGCGGCCGTGCAGGTCAGGGTGCGCAGGCGCGGCCACAGCGCCCTCGTCTCCTCCGGGAGCGCCATGATGTCGATGAGCCCGCAGCCGCGGTGGCGGACGGGCGAGAAGTGCTGCCGCCGCGAGCGGTGGAGGATCAGGCAGCGCGCGGGCGACGTGAGCGCTCCGCCCGGCGAGTCCTGCGCCGACGGCTCGATGTCGCCCAGCATCACAAAGCGCGAGTCCTCGCCGCGCGCGTCGTCGCCGCGCCGCCTCCCGCTGCGGCTGCCGGACGAGGGCGCCTGCTCGTCAATTAGGAGCAGCACCGCGTCGGCGGTCGACGCGACGGTGCGCATCGCGTGCTCGTCGGCCCACAGGCACTTGCCTGCGCCCTCCTCGCTGCCGCGCTTCCGCGCAAAGGCGCGCACCTCGTCAAGCGTCATCGGCGCGCGGTGGTGGTTGAGCCAGGCAAAGTCCTCCACGCCGGCCGATGCGCACATGCGGTACAGGTCGACAATTTCCTCAGTGAGTGAGTCGGCGACCATTTCACGCATCGTCACCGCGCTCTCAAGAGCTGGCGGGCGCGGCGACTCAGGCAGCAGCTTGTCGACGGCATTGTAAAAGCAGTCGCCATCGGGCGTGACGTTTAGGAGCTCGAACTGGCCAGGTGCGCGGAGCGTGCGCGAGATGCCGTCGGTTCGCGCCATATACACATGATTTTTGGGTTCCGGCTCCTAGCATAGGACTTCATGGCGCAGCTACCGAGCCAGCTGAGAGCTGTCGCTGCCACCATCGCTCTCAATCGGGCACTGTCGGGCACGTCCAGGCTCGCCCCCCCCCCCCCCCCCCGGGGGGCGGGGCAGTTACACTGTAGGGATCCTGTACATCTCGATTGCCGACGCCGCCACCATCTCCAGGCTCTCCACAACCTGCGCGGCAGTGCCCGCGCCGGTCTGGGTCTTCCGCTGCTCGCGCCGCTGCACCATCTGCCAATCTTTGCCCCCGCGTGGAGAATCGAAGATGCTCGCGACCATGGTGGAGGAGGCCTTCACCGGCGCTCCCGCGACCTCGTTCGCCCTGAGAGCCGCCGAAGGCTCCCCGCTCCTTCGCGGCCTGTTGCGCCCGCACCACCTCCATCGCGTTCGCCGTCTGCGAGTTGAGCTTCGCCACCTTCGCCTTCCTCTCCCGCTCCGCCGCCGCCTCCCGGTCCTCGCGGCGGTCCGCCAACGGGTTGTCGCCGGCGTGCCAAAACGCCCTACCTATCTACCTATCCCCAGGCCGCGCATCGAAGCGAAAAAAGACGAAAATAGGGGGGTACCTACCTATTGCGGGGCCCTCTGGGGCGGTCAAAACCGGACCTACCTACCTATTGCACAGACAGGGGCTAGCCAGTGGCGAAGGTGGAGGGAAGCGAAAGCGTGCTCAGTTCGGTTCATGCCGCGAGTGCAGGCTCTAATAATTTATTTATGAGTGGTGTACAGTGTCGTGTCCATTAGCTCCGAGTAGAGGGGGCGCGTCCTGCAGTTAAGGCATAAGGGGAAACCCGGTACGCGTGGCCAACCAACCAACCCTCGGCGACCTGTGTTTACTTTCTTTATGGCCACGGCCCCCCTCCCTCCCTGCGAACGCGCAGCACCCCAGGGCTATGGCTTTCTTGCCCGTAACCCGATACCGATCATCCGGCCCGCTGGGTGCGCTTCTCAGCTGCCCGGCCCTGCCTGGGTGTGAGGTTGCCCCCGGGGGCCGACTGCACCACAAGTGCTCCAAGTGCCCCAAAGCATCCACCTTGGAGAGGCAGAAGAGATTGGGCAGTCGCTCGGCGCGTGAAAAAGAATTTTACGACGCCCTCGCACAAACAACATTAAGCACGGGACTGGCCCGCACTGGCACTAACACAGGTACACCACGGGAGCCGCCTAAGCGACTCCTGCGAGGACGGAGCTGCGAGGCACTTAGCTCCGTGCACTCGACCGCCCTCGCCGCAGGCAAGCTCATTCACAATCTGCTCTGCGATGGCTGTGTGAAGAACGACTGAGATACGCTGCTTCTGCAGCCCTAGCCAACTCTTGGTGGTCCAAGTCACCTCATCGAGGTACTGGGCCCGCGTCAGCTTGTTCTGCAGCGCGTTCGCCGCCTCCAGAGGATCGCGCCGACCCCCTTCCCGAACCCACCGAACGACTCGAACAACAGCAGCTGCACGTCGACGTCCTTGTCCTCCCTGGCGTAGCGATGCTCGCCGCCATGGCGCATGGGACGGTATGCGGCTGAAAACTTTGTGGATCCACAGCACACTGGCATGACAAAGGGCGTGGACTGACGCACACTAGCGTGAAAAAGCGCGTGAAAAAGAATTTCAGAATGAAACGTTCGCGCCAGTCCCGTGGTGCCCAGTCAGTGTCGTGCGTGAAAAAGAATTGTAGACTAGGTCCAGCCCTGGGTGGCGCAGATCTGACGTTTTGTATCTGAAAGTATAGAGATGAGAGTGAGGTAGAACCGGACCCGGTCAAAGTCGGCGGGTTTCGGAGGGGGGGGATATGACGAAAAACGGCGGGCGCATTTGGGCATGACAATCGTCAGATCCGTGTTTTTTTGGTCTTGCGGTACATCTCTCCGCTCGCCACCTCACGCAACGCCGTCCGGCCATGGATGGTCCGATGGAGCTCGCCGAGCTCCATCGGACCATCCAACTCCGGTCACCGAGTCTGAACGCGCTCAGCCTCAGGAGGTACCAAACCGCGCGAATTCTGCACGCCTCGCTGCACCGCTGGCTTGACTGAATCAGGCAGCAGCAGGCTGCTGCTGCTGCTGCAGCAGCAGTCTGCTGCGGCCCTAATACGCAAGTTGATGACTAGCAGCACTGCCGGGGGCATTCGAGCCGCCACAGCCGGTGTGCGGCTGTGCACTGCCACCTGCCCGCGGCTACGCACAATGTGCGCTCGCATTGGATGAGCCCTGCTGATGGACCTGCATCGCCTAGCTGCACGAGAGCAATGCCGCAGGCAGTGGCCGTGGCATACACTGCGAGCACACTTGGTGCAGCTGCGAGGTGCAGCAAGAGCACGTCGTTCCTGCCTCTGATGCCACTCTCGCGGCTTGCAGCGCGTCACTCGCGCATGCTCTCCAGGAGCTATGGCGGGCGCGTGTGTGGGGCTGTAGCCTGTGTTTGGCCGGTTCTGACCCGTTTACTATCAGTATCATGTCCGGGCCACAAAAATCGCACACGGGTAGCGGCTCAGGGGCCCAGTAAGTCGCGGAATCGCCAAATGTCACAACCTGCGCCACCCAGGGCTGGACCTAGTCTGTACAAGCACAGCTCCTCTTGAGCTCGATCGGTCACACCGCCACCACTGCCGACGTCTCCCAGTGAGATGATGGAGGGGGGGGACGAGACTGCTTCCGCAGCGTGGCACCTCGTCCTCGATCCTGTGCCGTGTTTGTTATGACCCCCCCCTACCCCCCAATGAACCACACCAGTGAGGGAGCGGGCGAGTCAGACTGTGTCAGACGATCGAGGGGTCCCGTCGTGAGGAGCGTCCCGTGCCATGCGGAATCGACCCCATCTCAGTGCAACAGTGCAACAGAACTCCCTCTCACAACAGACTGTCTCAAAAAGAATTTTTCCTCCTGACATGTCTTTTTCCTTCGTGTTAAAATTAACTCTCGGCGGCACAGTGGACGCGGCACGAGTATTTTTCCTTTCCGCCCGTTCTTCTCTGCCAAAGAAACTCGAAGTCGACAACTGAATTTAATCGCAGACAGATAACCCGTGATCCATGTGTGTATGTAGCAAACCTGCCTTCCCCTCGCCGCGGCTGAGATGCCTCCAGAAGGCAAGCAGGCACAGCCAGCGAGGGGCCACTGTAGTAGTGCACCTCACCACCTCTTAGCACAGAAGCGCAGTCAGATCACCAACTGCCGCGGCGCCGTGGCGAAACCCTACTGGAACGTAGCCTCCCCTGACTCGAGCTTGGCCTTGAGGTCTGAGATCGTCGCGTTTGCATCCTCGGTCGCTCCACTGATGCCGGCGGTCATCGAGTCGGTCGCGCTCTTGACGCCCTCGTTGAGGCTGTCAACTCCACTGCTGATGGCATCGGAAGCTTTCGCCTTGTACTCGTCCGCCGCAGCCGTAGCCTTCTTTTCGTATTCCGCTGCCTTATCTGCGGCCTTCCCGTGGTACTCGGCTGCCTTATCTGCGGCCTTATCCTTGTATTCCGCTGCCTTATCGGCGTACTTGCCAGCCGCGTCTGCCATCTTGTCCTTGTACTCGCTGGCTGTGTCCTGAGCAGTCTCTGCTGCGGTTGACGCTGCCTCCGTTGCCGAATCGATAGCCGCCGTTGCCGAATCGGTGATGTCTGCATGCGCACCTGTGAACGTCGCCTTTGCGCTGTCGTAGAGGTCACTCGCATTGTCCTTTGTCCCCTCCCACGTGTCGGTCGCAATATCCCTCGCGCCTTCATAGGCGTCGCTGGCACCCTCCTTGGCCGAGTCGTAAGCATCGCCGACAGCGTCCGTAGCCGAGTCAACCGCTTTTCCGCAGCAGGTTCCCATCTCAGACCGTCGGTGGAAACGCTATTCTAATTTTGCGAAACGAAATTTTCGCTCGGCACAGTAAAAAACTAGTTTTCATTAGCCTCTTATCGTCTCGGTTGTTACACGTTTTTTTGGATGCTGTTTGGGGTTACCTCACGACCCGCACGAGGTAGGCGGCGCGCAGCGCCGCTCTCGCAGGCTGTTTTTGATCGTTTTTGTTTTTGTTTTCAGTCTAGGGGGCCCGACCCCCTCAGAGGCGGCGGTCGGGCGCCCACTCACCCAGAGATCAAAAACGCTCGGCCTGGGCACGGGACCAGAAGAATCCCAGTCTCTCTCAACACTCAAGTAAGTTGGCCACCAACACATCGGCTACCGCCTCAAACTCTACTCGTGGTCCACCCCCGCCAGCACCACCTCCGCCATCGCCGCCGGATCCCTTACCAGCGCCCTTGCCGGTGCCCTTGCCGGTGCCCTTGCCAGACATGCCGCCCATACTTCTCATGAGCGCCGTCACGCGCGCGTCGCTCGAGGTCGCGCCGTTGGACACCGGGTCGGAATTGCCGAACAGCTCCGTGTTCTGCTCGGCCTCGTCCAGCTCGGAAAACTCGATCAACGAGGCGCAGTAGTCACTGATCCCCCCCGTGCCCGACGAGGAGAGGCCGATCGCGCGTGAGCCCGTGAGCACGTCGAGCATCGTGCTCGAGATGTTGCTCCGCCTCGTCAGGATGCACGTCGACGCTTGCGCATTGAGCGTGGCCACCTCCGCCTGCAGCGCGGCAATCGTACGAAGAGCTTCGCCCATCTCAATGAGCTCGTCGTCCGGCGGGAGGCTGGCAAAGTTGAGCTTGCGCGAGGACTCTGTGAGCTCCTTGCTCTTTATCTGCGCCTGGTGCACATTCTCCTCAATGAGCTGCGCGGTCTTTGCCCCGAGCTGCGCCTCAAACGCCGCGTCCTTGGCCGCATCCTGGCATGACAAGGATGACGAGCCTTCATCGCCGATCGAGTAGCCCACGCCGATTCCCACGCCGAACCCGACGACGAGCGCGCAAATCGCGGCTGCGATGGCCGTGCCGCCGCCGCCGCCCTTGCTGGGGCCCACGGCTGCCATGTCTGTTACAGCGACAGGCCCATGGGCAATGGGCTCAACATACACGTTGGAACAAGGCGTCGAAAATGTCCCCAAACGCATTCTACCGTATTCTAAGAGCTGCACACGGATAAAAAAGTAACGGAAAACCGTCTTCCTCCAGGTGTGTTCGGGCTCCAGACATACACACTCATTAATACACCTCGCGGGTGTGCATGTATGTTCGTAAGAGCCACACACACACCGCCTTCGTTCGTACACTCAAAAGGTCCGCCTCCGGGTGTGTTCGAGTGACTGACCGCGACGGCCGGCCTGTCGAAGCACGAAGGCGGACGCTCGAGAGGCAAGCTGGAGACGCTCGAGCCGCCCACCGGCCACCGGCACCGCGGGCGGACCAGCTGGCGGCGCTGGCGATGCACGGCGTGACCGAGACGGCCGGCCTGTTGTTGCGCAAACCCTCTCCCCCTGCCTCGGTGGCTGGTGTGTGCGCGCGCAACGCAGAACCCATCTCCTCGCTCCGCGGCGGGCTCCGACATCCGCGGTACGAGATCTCCGTCGGCTCCTCGCCCCCGCCCCCCCCGGCCCCGCCCCCCGCCCCCTAAATAAATAAATAAAAACGGACACCTCTACTGTGAGATGGGTAAAAAGGAACAGGTCCCCGCCCTTGCGATCTTTGTGCAGGGTTCTTTGTGGGTGTGGTCGGCCACTAGCCGGGGTCGCCGCCCCCGCCCCCGCTCCTCCAGCTATTTTCGAGCCTTTTTGTTTCTCTACGACGACATCACATGTCGTCCTAGTGTTATCATCACATACACGTATCTCACTCCCCAAACCACACGAGGGCTGAGACGACGTGTCTCACTCTCAAAACACCACTGGCAAGGTGGTCACAAGCCGGGAGCGCAGCTGGATCCCCTGGCACGGCTGGGCTCGCTCGAGCAGCGCCTCCTCCTCGCCCACTGGTGAGCGCGACAGCTTTTGCCTGCGGTGGATCGCATCGTCGTACGGGACGAGCTCGAGAAAGGAGGCCGCGTAGCTGACGGGTGTCTCCGCGTCGGCTCTGTCAGTGCTCCACTTGCCCAGCGGAGGCAGGACGGAGCCGCCCTCCTGCGAGAAGTTCCAACCATTGTACCCGCTCCCCCGCCAGGTCGCCCACCCGCCGTCGCGGCACACCTACGGCAAGGCCTGGTGAGGTAACCTTCTCCACGAGCTAGTCCTGGGGGTGGGGACGGGTTCACCTTCCAAAAACCGGCTGTGGCCGGCCTGCTCCACGGGCGGCCAGCGGTGTGGTAGAGGATGCCCGCCCCGGTGGTGCGGGTGAAGAAGCTCCGGTGGTGGCGTCGGCCAGTCTCGACGAAGTCGCCGTTGCAGTCGTCGTAGGGGAGGTCGCACCCTCTCATCCGCAGCACGAGTGGGCGCGGCCAGCAGCGCAGCGGCACAGTGACGCCGGGCTGGCTCGAGGCGCAGAACTCGGTGTAGCTGAGGGCAGCGGTCACAACCTCGCCCGGCAGTAGCGGTGGGAGTGTGTGTCCGAGACGAATCACACGTGCCCGCACTGCCGCCGTGAGCTGCGCCGAGAGCGAACTGCAGGCAGCTGCCGCCACAGCCATCTCGTCGGCGCGGAGAAAGCTCAGGATGAGGCCGAGCAGGTCAGATGGAAGGACGTCGAGTAGCTTAGCGTGGTTAGTTGAGGTGGAGCGGCGGCGCGTGCTGACCATGTGTCGCACCGTAGTCCACGACTAGTTAGTCGCACGATCGCCAAACAAAGGCAAATTTTCTTTTTTTGCTGTGCTAGCAGTCCGACATTCGGCGCGAGGTGATTGTACTTCCCCTCCGCCCGTTCTCCCCCCTCCGCCCCGATGCAAAGCCACGAGCCCTACCTCATCCTCGCCGCCAGCAGCCTGCCATCGAGGATGGCGCCCGACCCTCGACTTGCCTCTCATGCACGAGGCGGGACGAGCGTGAGTGCGCTCGAGGTGAGCCTCGCCTCCATCTTCAACCAGACCCGCGGCCCAGACGAGGTGATCCTCTCCCTCCCGAAGACGTACCGGCGAACAGTCTGGGGTCGCGAGGATGCGTGGACTTCTGCTGCGGCGGCAGAGCATGCCCAGCGCCTCGGCCGAGCCAACCTGCACGTGCAGACCGCCGACGATGAGGGCCCAGGCACAAAGCTGCTCGCCGCGCTGCCGCTCGCACGCAGGCTCGCGGCCACGAGAGGGCTGCGACGCCGAGAGCCGTGGCTCGTGCTTTTCGACGACGACGTGGCGTACGACTCGCTCGCGCTGCAGTGGCTCGCCGGTCATATCAAAGCGACGCCGGCCGCCGAGGAATTGAGGCGGGCAGTAGGTCAGAGAGATAGCACCTCCGTGGCCCACGACCCGTAATGCTCTGTCGTCGCTCTCGATGCAGGCGCGCGTGGAGCTTCTGCGTCTACGTGCTCAGTCCGCCGGCCGAGTCTCCGCCGCTCACGCGCTCGGCGCCGCTCGTGGTGAGGAGCTCCTCGCGCCCTGTTATGCCTCCGGGCTGAGCCCTCCCTCGCCACACCTCGGCAGCCCTGGCCTCTCCGCAGCAGTTCACGCCTCTGCCGCCGGCGGTCCTCCCCGCCGTCCTCCCAGGTCGGGCAAGGGGTCGATCTCTTTGCAATGCCGCTGGCGGTGCTCAACGACATCGAGGCCTTTTACCACAAGGTGCCAGCCAGAGGGAGGAGGTGCCAGCCGGGCTAACGCGAGATCTCCCTTTGCCCCTTGCGAAGCGCAGGCGCTCACCTACTCGCCAAAGTGGTTCTACCACGACGATGTCTGGATCTCGGCCTATTTGCACGGCGCCGCGCAGGTGCGCGTCTACCGTGCGCAGCGCGGGAGGGATGGAAAGAACTGCCAGCAGGGCAAGGCCGTGTACGATTACCTCTTCCTCTCGCGTGCCGACGGGGTGGGGGCACTCAAGGGCAACCTCTCGCGCCACACACTCAACACAGAGCTGATGCAGGCGCGAGAGGAGATGGCGCGCGACGGGCTGCTCCCCGGCGCACGATTGCAGCCAACATCCGACCAGTGGGCCTCCGACCGGTGGGTCCGACTACACCACGGCCCTCGCCCGTCACGACGCCCGGCTTGACCGACGCCGGCAGCGGCGTGACGGTCTTGGTCTGCATGGTGATCGTGCCAGCGCGGGGGCCGACATTCTGTGCGCGCGGGGGGGCGGCCGAGTCGGACGGAGGAGGGACTGAGGACGAAAGCGGCAGCGCAGAGAGAGCGCGAAGGCGCAGCGCGGCGCGGGCTGCCCCACACGTCCTCCCCGCGTCTGCGCCGGCGCATGGGCCGTGCCGCGCGCGCCGCTGGGCGCCACGCGGGTGCGAGTGCGCGCGGCGCGCACCAGGCCGGACACGAGAGCCGTGGCAGAGAACAGCATCGGCCCAAGCTGAGACAACGAGAGATTCTCAACCCTTCTGTCGAAGGAAAATAAAACGCCGGGCCACCCACATTGCTCAAGTTCAAGCCTAGTCCCGCTCTCGTTCCGGAGAGGGGAGAACTAGAGACTGAGGCGAGCACTGACCACTGAGCTCTGAGGGGGTTGGAGGTTATTTTGAGAGAGAGAGACCTTCCCTTCTTATTTTGTCTGTCTGTAGTACGTGGCTGGGTTCACAGCGATTGTAGGAAAATGACGGGAACACTTGACGGTCGCGGCCTTCCGACTCGCGCCTTCGCCTCACTGGCACTATTGTAGCCCTGGCCGGTGCGCGTGTGGAGTTGAAGTTCCGGAGTAAAAATTCGAACGCGTTCTCTCACGGTGACCAAAAAATGTCCACCTCAGAGGCACCTCCGGAGGCAGGCCGCCGCACGCCGGCGACACAGCTCCAGCTGTCGAACTGACCCGCAGCTCCTCTAAGAGCGGGAACTGTGACAAAAGTTGACTGAGGCGGTTGTCAGGAATCATC